CCCTCTATTGTGTGAAAAGCAATTCACAAGAACAGGAGTCACTTCCCATCATACAAAGTGTATGAGAGAGAAGGGGAAAAAATCCCAAGCGCAGGCCAAAACCAGAGGCTTAGAGAAAGTATTTTTTTCTGTTCTGAACTTCATTCTGCTGCAGGAGATACCATCTTGGACCACCTCTCTCCCCAACCCAGGGACAGGCATGCTCTATTGTGTGAAAAGCAATTCACAAGAACAGGAGTCACTTCCCATCATACAAAGTGTATGAGAGAGAAGGGGAAAAAATCCCAAGCGCAGGCCAAAACCAGAGGCTTAGAGAAAGTATTTTTTTCTGTTCTGAACTTCATTCTGCTGCAGGAGATACCATCTTGGACCACCTCTCTCCCCAACCCAGGGACAGGCATGTGAGTTGACCGGCAACACAGATACAGATGGACAGCCCCGAGCACAGAAAACTGCCCTGGAGTGATCTCAATCTGTCACCAGGACATGACTTGAGTAAGGGCCACAGACACAGATGGGCAACATTTAGCAGCAGGGCTTTCTCCCTCCCAGGGACCAGAACTGTGACACAGCTTTCTCCTCCTAACAGCAGGTACAAAAATACTTTGTCTTCGTGATTCAGGAAGAGTTTTATTACTCCTGAAATACTGTATTCTCAACACTGTATAATCAAAGAGCTGGAGATAAGTTAGAAAAAACTTATTAATATACCTTGTTTCATAAGCTAAGGGGATCATTAGAAGTTTTTAAAAAAGCTGAACAGTCAATTACTGGAAAAATGGTTCAATAACCAGGCTCAGTAAAAACTTTCTTACTCTGAAGCAACATCTTTTGTCCATCAGGGAGGCTGGGCACCACCATAACTTGAAGAAACCTTGAACTTGGTATAGGAGCTTGGGAATTGCCTGACTAGGTCAAAAAAAGCAACCGCAGCCACCAGGGCTATGTGCCCAACACCGTGATTTAAGAGCAGAGTGCAAAACTGAAACTCTCCTGAATGGAAAATTTCTTCCTAACTCCATCAGCTACTAGTTTATTAATTAGCTCTTATTGATTATAGAAGTTATTCTTTCTAATTAGATCATTACCAACGTCCAACATAAAGCATTTAACTGAGTGGTGATGCATTCCCTCAGGTGTGAGGATTGCCCACTGAAATCCAAAAGAGAAACAGGAGAGATGTCAATCAAATCCGACACTGCTGCTCCAGAAAATGCGATTCCTCCCTTGGTGGCATCAAACCCAAGCCTTGCTTCTCCAATGCATTTCAAGGGCACATCCCTTCATCCCATATTCAAATGCGTTTACCTCATTTACCACTATGATAGGAATCTGTGACAAAGGAAACAACTAGAGCATTAGATCACATAGTTGGGCCTCTACAAGAGCATGACCTATGAGCTTCTCTTAAAGACCCCTCTCAAGCCCTGTAATGCTTTGGCTGTTATACACACCCTAAAGCATCCAACCTGATCAGCAGATTAGAAATCCTCCTTTGGAATTCGTTCTTAACAGTTTATGTCCCAATGCAGAGTTCCATGTTTGAAGGTACCATAACTCATAGCCATAATGAGAACCTGGTTTCTCATTTCACATTCTTCCAGAAGACTGGAAAAGCCTTAAGTCCCTTTCTTCCTTCCCTGCAAAAAGGTGTTTTCACCTCATTCTCAACCATCTCATGACAAACTATCTTCCAGCCTCTTGCCATAAGACATCCAATTCCATTACAGTATGGGCTGTCACCCTTTTCTGCACCACCTCCAATATTCACCATTTCCTTTCCAAACAAAGGCATCAGAACAGCCCATTTGGGATGCATCACAGAGGTAAAATCACTTATTTCATCTGGCTAAAAGGAGAGTCATCACCTCTCCTTTACACATCTGAGGTCAAAATTGGTCACGCAGCCCCAGCACTGAGTGGGAAATCACTATACTGTATTTCTGCTCTCCTTCCCGATCTCTCCACACTGCAGTTCCGTCTACCTCTCCTCTGCTCTCTAGACAATTTTCAACTCATACGTGGCTCCTGAGCTGATCGAATGTAACCATCTTCTTGCCCCACACCAGACAACCCCCTCTCTGGCTGTAGAAGGAAGCCAGCCCAGAGGGACTGCTTACACAGAGGCTGCCAAAGGGCTGTTTCACACTGGAGAGGTAGATCTCACTTCCTCCTCGTTACTTCGTCTTGAAAGTGTCAAATACAAAGGGTTCTTGTGTGGGCCTGCGCACCAAGCAAACCTGGCTCCTCTGCCCAGCAGCCTCAGCTCTGTCTACCACTCTGCCAGTATTTGTCCCCTGCAGAAGTATTATCTGCAGCAATTTGATACTTGCTGCCATATCAGATGCAAATGCTGAATAACGTTTGACCTACAACTGATCTCGACAGAACAATTCCAGGAAGTCCTCCCTTGATAACTACTTTGGTCATCTGCTATTTAGCTACGCTATCGTTCATCCCACACGGCGCTCATCCTCACTTCATTAGGATATTCAACACTATGTGTCATGAAATCAAGTGTTTTCTAAAAATCTATTATATCTAGGCAGCTACGTTTCATCAACCAAGCTTCTAATTACCAAGAATAAACTGGTTTTACAAGAGCACTGTCAAGCAGCATCTTCTACACTCCTATCCTTTAATTATCTACCAAGGGAATCAAGTTCCTATTGTTTTGACCAGGTCTGATGTCAGGCCCACCAGCCCATCATTAGCTGCACCCTTGCTCTTCACTTTGTGAACTACTGGTATGAGCCCACAGACTGGGCATTTCTGACTCACAGGCGCTTGGTTAATATTTTGAGACTCCTGGGAGCAAGTTCACATGACTTTCGTGAGAAGGAAGTTCTACTTCCTGTCCTTCCCATCCAGCAACTTTAGAGGATTCAAGTTCTTCTGTAGAGCTTTGGGGTGAAAGAAATGGAACTGGCACCAGTCTGCAGCGCTGCATCAGAGGCTCGTCTCCCTTGCCCTCCTACAAAGCACGCTTCACAGACACGTTCCGTCTCGGCTACTCACCAGGCAGGCAGGCAACTCCACTCCTGAGCACCTCTGGGTTCACATCCTTGACTATGGTACGTGCAGATCGACCACCACAGGCAGTCCCAGAAGCTGGGGATGTCGGGGGAGTAATAGCTGCTGAGGTTTCCTCCAGGGCACTGCCTTTACTCGCTGGTTTCAACACATCTGTGCCAGTTGCTTCTCTTCTCGGCTCTGCCCCTTCTGACACCATCCCTGTAGGAGAAGCAGCAGTCAAGCTTGACCAGAGCTCCACCCAAAAGGTCCCAGGTAAGTACCAGATTAGGGAGGGACATGCCCCCAGCCCCAGCACTCCGCAGCTCATCCAGTCCTTGTGCCAGGAGCATGCATGTTCCAAGACTGGTTGTAACTTTAATCCTACTGTAATTCTAAGAAAATAAACCAGTTTATTGTGAAGTTTGCAAGTTACAAAAACTCAATTCAGATCAGGATGGCTGTGGTCAAAGTCCTTTTCGAAGGGAACGTATCAAGCAGTACGTGCCTGCTCACAGCCTGAAAGTCTGGCGGGGTGCAAGCCCCTGGCTAAGCTCCAGCAGCTTGAGCACGCTGAAGTGCTAAACCAGTCTCTGACAGGGAGAGCTGCTCCATCGGAGCAGAATCACTCCCCCAACACCACTTTCAGATTAGTTCCTGAAAATATGAAGTCAACGAGAGGCTGACAAATCAGCTGGAAATTAGCCAAAGAGACCTTGTTCTGCTCATCCAGACTTGAATGAACAGTTAATGGGAAAGTCAGAAACCTATTTTAAAATCCTGAAGAACAGGATGATTACACCAATCAGCTCTGTTTGATACCTGGAGAAAATGCATCCTTTGTCTGATACCTCAGCTCTAACATTCAAGTCATCAGTTATTTCTAAAACTAAATGTCTTGGCTACTGCACAGAAACTAATGCTACTTTTATCAAATTTCAATTTTCATGTAAAAGCAGCTGGAGAGAAGAAAAAAATATATATATACCTATGGTGTAAGAAGTATTATTCCCCATTTCCCAACATTGTAAGAGTTAGAAGCCAACAATACATCTCCAACAACACATCTTTAGCATCTTAAGTACACAGCTAAGCTCTCCCACTGTTTGGCAGGAAGATACACTAAAGAAAAGACTACACTGCACTGCAAATCCCAATACTTCAATATCTACCAACAAAACAAAAGTATCAATCTCTCTTTAGGAAGAGAATGGAGTATTTATTTGCTTGCTCTGAAGTCAGACGTTTTAATTGCTATTTAAAATTGACTTCAACCATCCTACCTTCCTGCTGCATCAACAATGCTGACACTTGACTCAGTTTATTTACTAACAGATTCCAATACTTCATTAAAGAGCAGGATCAGGAACAAAGCAGTCCTTGAAGTGGCTTTCAGTACAAGTTTTAGCAGTGAAGGAGATTTACAGGTTGAGGCTCAGCCCAAACTGCTTTCAAAATTGCTAAAGTGGGTGAGAGAAGTGCCCTGAGCGGCATGGCTCACTGCGCAAAATTATCCGACAGTGGGGGGAAACTGGGAGGGGCTCCAAAGCCCGGCACCATTGAGACCATGACGGAGTAGCTGCTCATTACTCTTCAGTAACACCCCTCTTGAGGGAGCATCCCCAGGACCCAGCTCGGCATCTGCTGCGTTTGACCACATAAGCTGCTGTGGTGGCTTCAGGGCTCTGCACAGTTCTGGGACGCGTCAGAGCTCAGTCGTGTTCCTAATACTACCTCAGCCTCCTCTTCCAGACATGCAAGAAGTCACTCACTGTGAACAACTGCTCGGTCTTCCTGAAGAGGCATTTTAGAGAGACACAGATCTCCCACAGATGGGGTATGTTGAAGATCACCAAGCCATAAAAATCATACCCTAAGAGTTCCCCATTAAAGGGTGACAGACTTTCTAGGAGAACAACTTCTCAAGGCGCTCTAAGGCCTGGCAACAAGGAGAACCACATAGCCTGTAGTAAAGGAGTCTGCATTAAACGAAGACAAGAAAGGGAACATAGCTATATTGAAGGTACCACACTAGGGCAAGAGAAAGACATCAGGGTACATGGCAGCCCTGCCTTGGATATCTCTGAGGAATGAGGGTGCAGCTCCTGAAAACTAGAAGAGAGAAGCATTTTGCTCACCCCACCATAGTCCTGGTCCTGGGGCTTTTCCAGGAAAGCCTCACTGGAGTTGTGCAGCCTCCAGACTACACACATCTTGCCCAAACACATCTCTTCCCTCAGCTTCTCAGGCTCAGCTCAGCCCCGCAGACCCCACCTCTCTCCAAGCAGGCCCAAGCACCCTGTTAGTTATTTGCAATCCGGGGTAGAGGCACTCACTCAAGCGGAAACCGTAGAATGCGGAGGATTACATCAAAAAGCAAATTGAGGACTGAGACATCTGAATTTGCCGTGGTTGCAGGTTCCACCTTTCCCCGAGGTTAAGGAAGTGGTAGAGGAGGATTTGCTTGTGTGGATTTCAAAGAGACATTAGCATTTTTTCTGCAAACTGCCCCAGCACCAGTAACATCTCTGCTAACATCACGTAGTAACAGGGAGCGGAACGCCCTAACAGGTGCTGCTGAATATGCCCCAGTGTGGCTTTTCAGCCCACCTCTTGAATAGCAAGATATTTTCTACACCCCAAAATACAGGAATTCTTTCCAGAGCTGCAGAGTTTCAAAATACACTTTCACTTAATGTCAGTCATTAAGGAAAAACAGCAGTCACATTATCTGTGAATGGAACCAGTGTCAATTCTAAGCCACCAACATGAAACAGCTCACATGTGACTCAAAATCTTTCTAAGTTAGATCATATCTGTGCAGAAAATAAACTCACTGGGAGCGGGAGGAAAGGAAGAGAACTGGGGAGAGGGAAAAGTCTGCAGACACAGTAAACTCAGATGCCGCAGTTCTGAAAGCGTATCATCTACAAGGTCTGCTGGAACAAGCAAGCTCCTCCACCTCACATGGTGCAAATCGTGTGTCTGTCCACTACTGCCAAGGTGGGAGCTGCAGAGCTGAGTTGACCCAGCAAAGACTAAGTTTTACTGTTATTTATAGTCTAGGAGAGAGACCCACAGTTTCCAGCCGTGGACCATAGCAAAAAGACACCAAGACACAGAAACTCACTTGCAGACTGACTGGCTGGAAAAGTCCGTTTGTAGGACATTTGCTTCACCCTGTAATTTTATCTCTGAATTATCTTATTATTCTATCTCTGAGGGTTTAATGGGGCCAGATAAGAGGATGGCTCGTTGGGATCTCAAAGCAATCAAACGTAATTGAATGGATTAAGCTTATTACAGTTTCAGGTCTAGTGTTGAAGAAATACTCCCAGCATTAACAGCTATTTGAGCTAGCCTGTGCCTTAAAGAGTTTTGTTGGTTGGGGGCAGGGGGAACCTGGTGATTTAGATTGTGTCTTTTGCTTTACAAACTCTGAGATAACAGGACTTTTTTTTTTTAACTGCAATGCCAAAGTTTAACACCAGCAAAAGTGGGCCACAAATATCACTTACTTCAGCCAAATCCCCAGAAACATTTAAAATTGTCTTTCATTAAAAACACACTCCATACCCCAGAGAGGTCTGGAGTTGCTGAAATCCACAGCAGCAGCCAAGACTTGTCCTGTGAAGCAGCAAGAACACCACACTTCTTATCTCATACACAAGCCGGACCTGGCTAATTTTAGACAGAAGAGATGGGAACATTGAACAAACAGCCACTCAAGTCTTGAGGAAAGCTTACATCCACACACAACACAGCCTGTTTCCTGAGGTCCAGCCCTGTACAAATACAAAGCGAAGCCAGGTTCAGCTTGCTCAGGGGAAGGGATACCCCCGACATGGTCATTTACTGGCATACACACCCCTAAAAGAGCTACAGGTGGGCGAAGGATGACCTCTTCTTTTTTTTCTGCTCACAGTGGTAAATGCTCAGAGACGCACACTTCATAGACTCGGGGAATGGTTTGGGTTGGAAGGGACCTTAAAGACCATCCAGTTCCAACCCCCCTGCCATGGGCAGGGACACCTTCCACTAGACCAGGTTGCTCCAAGCCTCATCCAGCCTGGCCTTGGACACTTCCAGGGATGGGGCATCCACAGCTTCTCTGGGCAACCTTTACCACTGTCTCACCACCTGTGACCTGACCCCTCCAACTCGCAGAAGAGAAACACTTGTCACTCCAAAAGCATCAGAAATGTCTGGCAACCGTGAGCTTGCCTAATTATAGAATTAAAATATTTTGGTGCGTGTGTTAATGAAATTGCATTTTAACTCATGGACACCAGCCCCATTAGCAGGTCACACTAAGGCAACAGGTAAAATGTGATTTTTGGAGACCTGAAGTAGCTGTGCTGGCAGCCAAACGGAGCCGTGCTGCAGTGGTGAGGTAGGCTCTCAGCCACACAATTTAGGACCCGTGCAAGCATTACGCTGCCAGCCCGTCCCCAGATGACCAGCTCTCTATCTGTTCCTCCTCAGGGTCAGACATGCTCTAGCGATGTGGGTCTGTACCTCCAAACCTTTCAAGAGTCCTCACCAATATTGCAAGCCGGATAATTTTCCTAGCCAGGGGTCTCCGGGAATGAGAGCTGTTGAACTGGAATGGCGTGTTTCACCCGCCCCCGCCACACACATGCTCCGCCATGGGATCTGCATATCTAGCTACAGCCTTCCAGACTCAGCAGAGGCAGGCAAAGCCTACACCATGTCCACGCGGTTACACACTGCCTGCCCACAGTCTGCTGCAGAAGGCAGAGACTCGGACTGCCTGTTCAGCTCCTTCTGAAGGAGCACAGCTCCAGCACAGGAACCCAGGCACCAAGAGGTGTGGCAATAGCTGCTTTAACATAACGCTGAGTTGAAGTTAGATGCTTAATTTTTCCGTGCTCTCCCACTCAAGTTCAACAGCTCCTACTTGAACCATAATCAAGCTGAAGAAAGCATGCCGTAGGGGATGGGAGGGAAGATGGGGGGAAATCCCTCAACTCCACAGTTTGCTTCTTAAATCGGTTACCAGCACACACGTTTGTTGACCTTCAGGTCATGTTACACAGCTAGTATTTTTCTGTGGCATCCACTGCTGCTTCCTCTTGCCACAACTATCTTCCTAAAGCCAATTTTCAACTGCGACAGACTTGTACAGTTAAAGATTCCCTTCTCATGCATTCCTGTTGTGTGCATCCGTAATGTGCACACGATTAATGTAATAGGTGGAGGTATCCAGCAATCAGATTCACTGAAATTCAGTCTCTTGCACCAGAACTCTGTTCTGTAGTGATGTAAAATTGCAAAGAACTATTAAAGAAAATACCTATAATAAACCCACCTGTGAAGAGAAAGCTAATTCCAAGCCACAAAACCAACAACTTAATCACTTCCCTTTTGCTTGTGCTATTACCCCAAAGCCTCCCGCAGAAGTACCTGTCAGCAGTACCTCAAGGACTTTGCTTTGGATCCACGTTATCAAACACAAACACACAAACAACCAATTCCTATACCTTTAGGAGATGATGCCCCAGAAGATGCCTCTTGGTGGGAGTGCGGAGTGGTGGGCTCTGTATGCTCCACTGCCAGTCCTGAGGACAGTGGTCCAACCTCCAGTTCCTCTTCAATAGCTTCCAGTGTTTTTAAGGCTACAGTCTTTGACTTTTCCCCACAAGAAGAGCTTCCCCAGCTCTCCTCTCCACCCTGTGAGTCCTGTACTGCAACACGTTCTGGGTTCAGCACAAACTTCTCTTCACTGTTACAGCCCTGGTTTTCTGCCTGTCTTTGTGGTTCCTCACACCTCTCTCCAGACCTGTGGGTTCTGAATTGACCTGAGCCTTCTGCCTGGGCATCAGGGCCCATCAAAGAGTCACTGTTATTTAATTGTTCTGCCGCCTGATCATCCTCTGCTGACAGGGCAGTTTGGAGTAGTATGGCTTCTTCAGCTTGTTTATGCTGACAGGCAGAGACCTCTTGCTCTTCCCCATCTGACAAGAATGCATCTGTAGGAGCTTGGACAGAACAGTGACTACAACTAGTCTGATTCTCATTTACAGTCAGTATTTGTTCAATCTCTCTGACTTCCTCTGGGCTGTCCCTTCTTCCCAGCTCAAATTCATCTACTTCTCCTTGGTTCTGTTCCGGAGGATGTAATGGAGAACTGAGACTTGATTCCTGATCACTGCAGCAACCACCGATTGCTCCTACATCTGCTGTGTTCCCTGAAGGAGAGCTTCGCTCCATACCTACATCTGAATTCTCATGCGTGATAAGCTGTGTGGTGACCTGGCCGGGTGCAGCGCTCTCACTGACACTCTGGCAAGAAGCATCAGAACCTTCCTGCAGCACGCACTTTGGTCCCGAGGGCCCCAGGACAGACACCGGAGAGGTACCCATCTCCGTCACCTCACTTTGACCCTCGGTTAGTGGTTCTCCACATACTCTCACTATCACCTCCTCTTTAGCAGCAGTAGCATCTAGAATGATTTCTGGGCTCTGCTCCAACGTATCAACACCAGGATTTCCATTCGGACCATCACTTTCTTCTTCCACATTTCCAGGAGCACGAGGCGTTTGTGCTTTGCAGTTGACACCATCTCCAGCACACGTGTCACTGTAGCTGCCCAGTGCATATTGCCAATCGACTGAGTGTTCACTGCAGGTCTCCTGCTCTGTAGATGAGTCTTCTGCACTGCAGGCAGGAGACTCAGACACAGGAAGGCTATTCCCCATGTTTCCAGGGCCTGATATCAGCTGGCTTTCTGGACACAGTTCTCCATGTGCCATGATTTTGTTGCTTTCCAATGGAATTACATTTCTGAGAGCTTCTGTAGAAGTCCTCAGAGCGTCCATCTGACAGTGCTCCTTCTGCATAAGTGCTGACTGAACTAAGTTCTTGGAGTAGGTGCTGTCCTGCACGACAATGAACTTGTGCTTGCCTTTAGATGCATTCACTCGTGTTCTGGGCTGAGTTAGATAACTTAAAGCTAGTGACTGGGTTAAAGAGCCCACTGGTGGCCCAAACCTGGGCAGAGAAACTTCTGTCAGCTCGACGTACTCCCCTTCAAGGTCACTTTTCAAGTTGTCTTGAGGGACAGGACTTGTACAGACACCATTGACAAGAGCCTCACTGAACTGAGGAGCTGTGCTGCTAACGACCAGGTTGTCCCTGTTTGGATTTTGTTCCTGTAGATACTGAGACCCTAGGTCTGGCGAACACACTGCATGGTCCATGGGGAGGCACAAAACTGAATGTTCCTCTGTTATTTCTGGAGAGATGATATTGTTTTCAATTATTTTTGGTTTATTTATAAATTCAGGATTAACCACTTTATCCCAGGGAACACGAAATATTTTATCATCAGTGGTTAGTAAACAATTTTCCAGTGCTATACCCATCCGCTCTCCATTGAACGTACTCAACCATTCCAGATTAAAAATAGAGGTATAGGAAACTTCTGGAATCACGACTTCCTCTACATTATGCTTGTCTTTTGCCAAACATTTCAATACAATTCGTGGAGACTTCTTCAGATAGGGGACCACCTGCAGGTAGAAGTCACCAGGCTTCAAGATTCGCCAGTCAATGGAAGCCAGCTGGACTACGATCTTCTCGTGAATGCACAGGGGCCAGCCCTCATGGCGGAACAGCAAGCCACAGTACTGAACCTGTGGGGAAAAGAGAAAGTTTTCAGCGTGAGGAACAGATCCCAGCACAAGCTTTTGGACAAGAGACATCTGCTCTTTCACAGCTGCAGCAATAAAACATATTAATTTAGGGTCTTTGGCTACTACAGTAGGGGAGTTTTCCATACTAAGGTCTTGTTTCTGCCTGTTAAAGGTAAGTTACTAACACAAGTCATAGAATCCTAATCATGGAATAGTTTGGGTTGGAAGGGACCTTAAAGATGACCTAGTTCCAACCTCCCTGCCATGAGCAGGGACACCTTCCACTAGACCAGGTTGCTCAAAGCCTCATCCAGCCTGGCCTTGAACACTTCCAGGGATGGGGCATCCACAGCTTCTCTGGGCAACCTGTCCCAGTGCTTCACCACCCTCTCCAGGAAGAACTTCTTCCTCACATCCAATTCAAATCTGCCTTCTTCCAATTTAAACCCGTTAACCCTTGTTCTGTCCTTACATGCCCTTGTAAAAAGTGTCCCCCCCTGAGCATTCTTGTCAGACCCTTCAGGGACTGGAAGATGCTATAAGGTCTCCCCACAGCCTTCTCTTCTCTTCTCCAGGCTAAATCACCAGCATCTCAGAATTTGAAGATGAATCAACCAGCTGCCAGTAGTCTCAGCCCAGTTTTAAAGCTGGGTTGGCAGAGACAGGCAGAGGTCTAAGGCAGCAGAGAGAAACTGGTAGTGCTCAAGCTGGGAGACCCTACCTCATTTCTGACTCATTAGGACTAATTTGGCTAAGAAAGCAAAAACTCAGCATCCTTAACAAAGTACCATTAGAGAAACGCAGGCTAACAGCAGCCTGCTTATAACACATGGACAAAACCCACTGTCCTCAGCTAAAGAGCACCCACAGCCTTAACAGAGAAGGTGGCAAATAACAGGCATCATCTCCAGAGCATCCACAACGAGCTCGGGGTTGTACCAGCACACTTGAGACTAGCCAGAGGAGGCTGTGGATACAGAAACCTCACTGCACAGGACGCAGCTAGTCAGCCTGGTACCACAAATGTCTTTTCTCTGGTGAAACAGTTGGGTCTTTAGGCTGAGGTCTGATGGAAGGGAGGTAACAAAAAGCTTTCCTAATGAGGGAAGACAGGATAAAAATGCCAAGGTCTGTTGAGGACTTGGTTTGATTCTCCGAAGTGCTCTGCTGGAGTATGCAGCACGTTCCACCTAATTTTGGTTAAGCCAAATTGAAGATCATGGAGCCAGTAAAAAGCATCACTGATCTGGTGTGATCAAAAGGCTATGCAAGCCAGGCAGAGACAAGGAACATGGGAAGCAGCAGCAAGGGATGGCTGCAACCTACCAGTGAAAAAAGGTAATACTGTGAAGCCAAAGCAGGAGAAAGGAGGCACCAAATGAAGAAGGAAGCACAGGAGAACAACAGAGAAAGAAGGCTGCAAGTCCCATCAGCAAGCTGCAAGGAACTATGCTTGGCATACCAGGGATTTCCTTGTTCCCAAGACATAGCAGCACTCAGGACAAGTCTCAAACAAATCCCAATCATGTAGAAGAACTGAAGTTTCATGGCTGAACTGACTCGTCTCAATTATTTACAGCTTTATCACAACTTCAAAAAATAAAATCACTGCTTTGAACTCAATTCTCTTTGGGTAAAGCAAGATTTACACTGAGCCATGACATAACCCATCAGTTTCAGGATTAGTTTCATCCTTCTCTGCCACGACAAGGGTTTAGGTAGGATTCACCTGTATCAGATGCAGTACTTCAATTATAAAGCAGTCATCTGGAAGCCCAAAGACTTCAGTGTTGGCAGCATCTGACTTCAGACATTTTAGCTTGTTTCTCTTACATGGTCACATGGAGGTCTTGACAGAGAAAGCAATTTATAAACTGCTGTATGCTGCAGGCCAGACAGATGAACAGGGGAAAAAAAATTTAATTCTAATATTTTGCCATATAGCAGAGAAACCACAGAACTGGAACCAACCTCCTGGATCCTCACACACCTTGAAACAACAGGTAATGGCATCACATAAATTCTTCCCTATGCTCATCAGGCTCTACCTGCAGCCCAGCCAGGTTTCTTATCCTCACTGCACCTGATGCAAAGCTACTCAGATGCGTGAAAGCCCAAATCATCCTTCAGATTCAATAATTCCTCCTCCTCCACCCTGGAGCTTATTCTCTTTATATGTTCCCAGTGCTTAAAATTATTAAGCCGTGCACAATTACCTAGTGTGTCTCCCTTGATCATCTCTTAGGCCTACCTGAAGTGCCTCCTTGGTGATGCCTTTTACTTTTCTAAAAACACATTTCTTTGTTCCACCTCTTCATTGTGCAAAGCACCGCAAAACACTGTGTGTAATGGCAACAACGCTTCCCAACTGCGCTAGAAGCATCTCCTAAAGCTCAGATCACACCTCTCTCCCAGTCATGCCCCAACAGTAACCCAGTTATCCCCTAGTTTTTCTTTCCAAACTGATGAACCCCAGTTCCCAACAGAAATCCTGCCTGTAACTTCATGGAGGCACATGCTTGTGCCTGAGCCTACCGTTAGGCAAACTTAAGTACAAAGTTTTAGAGATCATCTTGTGTAATACATTTATCACCCTCCTCCTCCTTTAGGTTATTGCTCACGTCTCCCAGACTGGTTTCATCACAAATATGACACATGCATACTCTTACTTTTTATGCCAAGGTCAGGGATGAGAAGTGATGTGTGTCTCACGACTCCTGCCTTTCACTGCGCTACAAACACCCTCCCTTTCCCCAGTTTGTTCCCCATCTTGCAATATTTGCATAAACCTCCAGCCCTTTGACACAGTAATTTTCCATATGACTCCATAATAAATCCTGTACGGAAGGGATTAGACAACGAAACTTTTCTCTCTAGAGAGAGTTGGTTTATGAAAAAGGCTAGTCTTACACGACCTACCGTGGAGGAAACCACATGAAAAAACACAGTTTTTAATGGGTCAGTTAATTCAGCCCTTGCTCAGTGCATGTTGTTGTAAGCTCAGCTTGTTCTCTGTATTTTGTTACTAGCCCTGACTTAACAGATTCAATAAAAATCCCTGTTATCGAACATTCAGCATGACATGGTAACTTCTTCCATATTCCAGGATGGAAAGCAGCCAGTCCCTTTTCTTCAACACAGTCAATTCCATATCTAGTTCCCAAACTATTATAAAAGTTTATGATTGAAAAGTGGTAAGACACAATCATCAGCAGCATAAACAAAGCTGAGTTGTCTCTGAACCTACGTGACACAGAGTTTCTGTTAAAACCTGGATGCAGAATAAACTATTTGGGGGCCTTTCATGCATGAAGACATCCACACCCCAACCTCACTGCTGAGATGACCTGCCTGCCTACTGACTGGCAAGAGGAAGAAAACCCAGCAATAAAATCACCAAAACCAAAATGCAGAATTCATTGAAGGTCCTGAAAAACCCTACAAAGCCACAGTCTAAACTGCAGCAAGAGTTTTAGAACTTCGGAAGCGCAGCAACCTCATGCTGCTCCTGCTCCAAAAAACACCTTCTAAGGGAAGATTACGTGAAGAGGCATATTTTAGTTGTTTCAACATTTCACTTTGAGGCTTAAGCATTCACTCTTCTCACATCCAATCGCTAGCGAGCCAAACCAGGCCCGTCAGAGGAGTGCCAGGAACAGAGTCTAAGCCCGGCAGTTGCAGCCAGGAATAAAGCTGCCTCTGAGGAAAGAGCAGGGCACCAGTGACAAAGATGGCAGCTCCTAGAGCTACAGGGATGGCAAGGCTGGAAAAGACCAACAGACCACATAGCTCAGGATGTCACCTGAAGGCCAAGGGCAAAACCTGGTTTCTTACTGTGCTGAGCAGAGACAGACTCTTCGGCAAAAACACACACACATCCTTTCCAGTCCCTGGGGATCACACACAGGCTAGTGACTTGAATACGCCCAGCTGAAGCCCATGAACTTGCCTAATACTTCATGAAGCCACATACACTTTTGTCACAGAAGATGCTGACAAAAGATCTAGCTCTCTCAAGATTTCCTACAGTAGTCATTCAGACAGGAGCTACTTCTTTTCACTTTAGTGTGTTTAGGAAAAGTTCACGTGGACTGACTGAACCACAAGGTAAGGCGGAAACATCACTTTTTTATTTTAGACTCTCTAAAAGGCAGACATAACTTTGGAATAACAATAAACAGCCCTGTGATTTCAGGCAGGGCACTCTGCTGAACTGCCTTCCAGTTCTGTGGTTTCTCTGCTATATGGCAAAATATTAGAAGAAGGTGCACACAGTGGAGGTTTGGGCAAGAGAAGGCGTTCCCAGCAAAGGAAAGAGATAGCTTTTAGCAATAACAATTCAAGCAAGCAGACTTAAAATATGGAATAGCCTGGGCCCACCTCTAAAGAGTACAAGGTACCCTGAGCTTCCCTTGATCTCCCTGTATTGCCACTCAAATATACAAAATCCTGAGTTGAGGCCAGAAAGGATCACAGGCCAGGAGGAAAGGCTCAAGGCATCCAGTTTTGCTGAGAGGCTTGTGCCTGCCCTCCACCTTTTGCTGCGCACTCCCCCAGCCATTTCATACCTCAGCAAAAGCCTAACAAAAGTACCTAACAACGAGCTCTGGGCAGCCCTCGTCCTTCGCCTGTGACAGGACGGCGGCTCCCAGCACAGCTCCTGCCCCTGCACCACCTCCCCAAACAGTACCTCACCATACTGGTTTCCTCCTCCAACAGGAAGAGGGGGAAACCAGACACCTCCAGCCCCCTTGCCTCCATGCCCCCTGGGCCCACGCTCCAGGCCAATCTGGGGGGCTGCCAGCACCCTGAGCTCCTCCGGGGACCACCCTCCTCACCCCTCTCCCGCCTCAGAGATCCCCGGAGCCCACCCCCCTCGCATCTCAGGGACCCTCGGGGCCCACCCCTCTCACCTCTCCTGCTTCACAGCCCCCTGCCCTCACACTTCTGCCCCAGGGCCCACTGCCTCAGCACCTCCGACAGCCCCCCGCTCAGCCAAGGCCACTA